CTCCTGCTCATCGATTAAAGACTTCGAACTTTCGCCTTCGCAGTCCATCCTTAAAAATGCAACCGATTTAACCCGAAAAAAACAAACAAACACAACAATCGTAATATGATACCATATAAAATTATACAAATTGTCAACACCTCGCGCGTGTTTGTGTCGCTTTAAAACCACGTGACTATTTTTTTTTTATTTCAACATATTCTCGCCCCAGGCCCCAGTCTCCTATCCTTCTTATTCCACTATCTATGATTTAATATGCGAAAAAATTGCGTTTGTTTAATTGTCGTCGTATTTGAATAAGAATGAAAGACTCTTCACCAGTCAAAGCGGAAATAAGAGATGGCATTCAACAGAAACGTCATTAATTCATTCTGTGATGCTATGTTTAAAGCCATGGATCAGAAGAAAACAACTGCGGTGGTATTGTTGGATATGAGCAAGGCGTTCGGTAGCGTGGATCATTGTATATTATTAAATAAATTGCAAGATATTGGAGTTTCATCATCATGTCTTGAGTGGTTCAGAAGTTATTTATCCCAGAGATATCAGGCAGTCAGAATAAACTCAGTGTTATCGGAGAAATTGCCAGTGGTAAGTGGTGTTCCACAGGGTAACATCCTTGGCCCGCTATTATTCAGCATATACGTGAATGATCTACCTTCCGTTAGTCAAGATTGCACATCTGATTGTCATGTGGATGATACAAACTTCTGATGTCTTTTCATGTGGAAGATTCTATAATCGCCATGACCAAGATCAATTGTGATCTTGTACGAATTCGCAATTGGTGCTTTGACAATTGCCATCTCCTGAATCCCAATAAGACGAAACTGATAGTCTTCGGCAGTCGCCAAATGATTGAGAAAATACCGGATTTCAAGCTGTCATTGTTGCAAAAAGAACTTATTCCTGTTGAATTTGTAAAAGACCTAGGAGTTATGTTTGACTCTAATTTGTCCTTTGACAAACATATTTTAGCAACAGTCTCTTCATGCATGTCAAAGTTAGGCCAAATTAGTCGCGCAAAACATGCGTTTAGTAAAGATCTATTATATCTAATAATTAGTGAAATATAATATAATAATTAGTGAAAATTATTAATGCTCTGGTTTTTAGCAAACTATTTTATTGTTCGTCTGTGTGGTCAAACACTTCAAATAGTAACATACGCAAACTTCAGAGCGTGCAGAACTTTGCAGCTCGAATTGTAAGCGATAGACGGAAATTTGATCACATTACTCCAGTGTTAAAAGAGTTGCGCTGGCTTCCTGTTAAAACTCAGTTATATTATCGTGATGCTACGTTAGCGTTTAAATGCATGATGGGTTGTGCACCCTATTATCTGGCTTCACAGTTTATAACAAGAGGTGATGTGACAGGGCACAAATGAAATATTCCGCTGTTTAAGAGTGCTGCGGGACAAAAAGTTCTATTATAGAATAATAACATTATGGAACGGTATAGAAGAGCATTTGAAATTATGTAGTACAATATTTAGTTTTAGATATAATTTACGAAATCAGCTTCTTCAAGACTTCATGCAATATTAACATATCTAGAACATTGTACATTTTAGTAATAATTTAATTATTGTATTGTAATTATTTAGTAATTTTAGTAACAATTTAATTATTGTATGTTAATTAGCTTCTAATCTTATTATATTGTCACTGAAAAGCCCCTTTGGGGAGTTGTCAATAAAACTTCTAACTTCTAAAATACGAAAAACTAGCAATATTTCGCAGAATTACGCAGACTTCACGGTAATCGTTCCATGTTTTGCGCACCAATATAGTAATCGTTATGTAATGGATATTATAGTGTACTGGAAAGTTAACTGCATACCTCCATACACGTATATACAGACCCTAACCCCTAACCCTAACCTAACCCCTAACCCTAATACCTAATCCCTAACCCTAAATTATATTGGCAGTGTTGTAACGAGTCACCTATAGGTCGAGTCACGAGTCGAGTCGAGTCACTCAAAGGTCGAGTCACGAGTCGAGTCGAGTCATTTCAGTTTTTGATCGAGTCGAGTCGAGTCAGTGGCTTCACTCGAGTCGAGTCGAGTCGAGTCAGCGGCTTCACTCGAGTCAAGTCGAGTCACTGATTTAAGTCGAGTCGAGTCAATTTCTAGACTTGATTTGAGCTTGACCTAGCTTGCAGTAGGAAATTAGTAATCAAATTTGCGTTTTAAACTAATTACTTTAGTCATTTAATAACAGTATCTGGGCAGCTATAGGCTGTGCCAATATCACAGTTCTAGTCAATATTAAGTACAACCACATCAGATGTCTCATCATGCCTGCTGATCGAGTGTACGTACATACAACTAGCAAAACTTGCAACTGGAGTCAGAATTAACAAAGAATAGACTTTAATTAACAACGCTTTGTAAGTTAATTTGAAATTATATAGCCCTTCATAAATACCAAAAATGAAAATAGCCTGTCAGAATTAGTATATAAGTACAAAAAAATTTAAGACTCAATTTTAAAAACTGTGGCACTAGCGTTGTTTCTAAAAACAGAAATGTAATATAGGTATGCCCATCAGCAATATACTCTATGCAAATCCCATATATTTTCTGATAAAGTTTCGAAGTTCTCATTGTTCACAGGGCTCATTGTTCTTCCCAAGCAATACAATCACAATAATTGTGATGAATTTATTCTGTACAAGTTGTAGCTTAGTTGACTCGAGTCATTTAAGGCAAAATCAGCAAGTCGAGTCCGAGTCGAGTCATTTGGGGCTGTTGACTCGAGTCGAGTCGAGTCATTTTTCGTATTGGACTCGAGTCGAGTCGAGTCGCTGAGAGTTGACTCGAGTCAGAGTCAATGACTCGACTCGTTACAACACTGTATATTGGTGCGCGAAACATGGAACGATAACCGAGTTCGCTCACGCGTGAACCTTTCATCAATTAGTATAGTAATTAATGCGTTATTAAATTAATTTAGTGCGTTTGTAACAGTATTTATGTCATTGCTGCAATCCTGGACAAAAAAGTGGCAAAACCAGTTTATTACTTCAAAATATAATTTTAAGATATGTTTGCCCCAATGATGCCGCTTCGATCCACAGTTTATGCTTGACCCAATATCAATGTTTTGCCAAGTTATCTGGCCTCGAATACACAAATCAACATTGATATTAGGGAA